CCCCAAAACCCCAAAACCCCAAAACCCCATGGAATTTGTATAATTTATGCTTCATATTTTTGAAATACAAATATAAATTTATCAAAAGAATATTGCAATCTTCATACTAATTATAAGTGATCTTGATAATTTCATTATAAAGGATAGTAGCGTATGATAGTGAACAAAGATTCCGCTTTATACGAGCCATTTATTCAGAAAATTCAAGACAAAAAGATTAGAATAATAACAATTCTTTCCATTGCTATTGTAGCTCTAATAGCTTTTGTCCTCGCAAATGAGAGATTATATTCGCTAAAATATTTGGATAATCTGTTTATAATGACTTTCTTGGATCTTAAAATTTAAATCTAGTTTCTGGAATCTCTCAGTTAATTAACTCTTCAGGCTAAAACTTAATTGATGTCTTTTTCGATAAAGATTTAACTTTAGGACTTACCTATAAGTCTTCAAAGTATAACGCTATTGACTTTTATTCAAGAGATTATTATGCATTAGAAAGAACCTGAGTTGACTATAAAATGAAAGGATTTATAACTAATAACAAAGTCAATGCCTAAGGAAAAAGAGTAATATTTTCTGATGATGGAGCCTGCAATATACATTTTATAAGTGGCAATACTTATAGTATCTCTGGAGTGTAAGATGCAGCTCTCGATAGTAATGGAACTATCTACGCAATTACAACCTAAGATATAAGCATTGATAAATACAAACGATTCGGCTCTATTGCAAAATTCTATTCCAAAAAACATTATAAAAATATAGAAATTTACTAGGATAAGCCAGTCCTTGTAAAATAAAATGGAATATTAGAAAGCTTCAATTAGCTATGTGTTTAGCAAATCAGCGCTGGATAGAATAATAGTGGAGGTCTATTTGCCTTGAATTGTGGTTAGCAAAATGATTCACTCTTCTAAGTTATGAGATGGAACAAAGATATAAATAATTGGGAAAAGATTGGCAATATACTTGCTGAAAAGATTGCTGCTTATTCTTATGATGTAGTCTATATTTATAGATAGTCAAGCATATTTGAACATACTATAAAAAAATGATTAGTTAGTCAACTCTTACCACCTTTCATAAAAATTCTCTATATCAAAACCTTTTAATCACTAATCTATAATATCTTTAATAAAATACTCCATTTTTTTACACAAAATTTCCAAAATTAAAAAAGCGTCGTCAAGTTTAGTAAATATTTAATCGTATAGAGAGCTGATCATCTAAATAATTTATTAATCAAATGTACATAAAAAAATATCAATCTTAACTAGTATTATATTTCTATTTTACTTAATTACAAGCATAGTGGGGTTTTGGGGTTTTGGGGTTTTGGGG